AGTTGGTTTCCAAGGGTGTAAGGCGAACGGCCGTTGTTCTCGGGTAGTTGCCCAGAGGTAGGAAGCAGTGGCAGTGAAAGTTTGTGAGTTTTCGTGTAGTTAGTGTATCTGACAGAAGCTGATCCAGGAAAAGATTGTAAGTCATATTTTTCTACTTACGAGAGATTCAGTTTATCGTAAAGAGAAGATATTCCAAGAGTCATTTTTCAACGAGAGATTCAGTTTATCGAGAGGAGAAGAGGCTAGCATAATTTGAACGATTCGTGCATTTGAAGGAGATCAATAAGGACGATAACCTTGCAACAATTTGTTGTAAGATTGCTGATTACGTAGGGAGCTGCTAAGAATAGATAGTATAGGCTACAAGGAACAAGGATTTGGACCACTCATCATCAGAGAGAGAGAGAGAGAGAGAGAGATAGTTTTATTTTTATGCAGTCTTTCTTTTATTGATAACATAATTTTTACAATTACTTTAAAAAAGATATAAATATTTTGATTAGGAGATTTAGAATAATCATTGGGGGTTTGAAATTTTAACTAATATTGTTTGTACCATTAATTTTGAAGGTTCACGTACGTAGAACAACATTTTGAGAATCATTATATGAGATATTGTTTATTGAAAACATTTGAGTGTGAATTTTATTTCATTATTTTTATTTCCATATATAATGTTATATCATAAATATATGTTTTTTTTTATTATTCCGGTATTCTTTGGACCTTACCTTTCACATGTAAAGCATAGATATTGAAGCACGAATTAAACCCTTAGATAAGAGAATTAAAAAGTGTGATAGAATCATAATAATATCATTTAAATAATTTTAATTAATTAATTAGCTAATTAATGGCTTGGCACACGAAGACTGAATATCACAATAATATATATATATATATATATATATATATATATATATATATATATATATATATATATATATATATACATACATATATATATATATATATATATATATATATATATATATATATATATATACATATATATAAAGGAGTACGACCGTCAAACTATTATTCAATGCAGTAAGTTTCAAAGAGAAAATTCCTTTGATCAACGAGGATATCGGTCAAAGGAGAAATAATACAAGGAAATCTTCCATTCTTATATTTAAAGACGTTTCGCTTGTGGTGTTTACAAGCTTCATCAGTTCAAATCTAAAAAATATTACAATGATGGTAGGTAATATTATACAAAAACATGGAAAATTAACTTACGAATGTAGAGTGAAGAATAAAAGGTGTTAAACAAACATACCATTCCCTTTGGTAACTGTGGTCAAAACATTAAATTGTTAGTAAAATTGTAGCTTGAAAGTTTCTGTGTAGTAGCATTCGTGTTTTTCAAAGCGAAAAAGTTTTGATTTACAAATGAACGACAGAATAAAAAACTACTACCAAGCTTACTAAAAAACTCGTCAACATTACACGTAAAAAACTAACTTACAACAGTCAAATGTAGAAATAAAACAACAAAGTGACTAAAACGCACTGGCCCAGAGCTGAATTGTTATAACAAACAAATTTTGAACTTCACTTTAGGCCGCATTTCCATCTAACGAATTCAAACTCGAAAAACGAAAGTCAAATTGCCGGCATTTTTATTGCAATAGAATGTGTGGATTTTTTAGCTCTGAGTTGATCCAACTTTCTGTGGGAGAATGAGACGAGCAGGCGCAATACACAGAAACGCAAACCTAATAACGCAGAGAAGAACACTGAAGCAAATAGATTGTTAAGTAAAAATGTCTACAAAACTAATATGTAGTGAAGATAGGTTGGAATCGGGAGTTTGGAATGACGATTAGTCAAGGAGGGAAAATATACATTGTCTATAAGAGAGGGTTTATGTAATTAGCTATGAATCAGTAAGGGGTGTAAAAGGTTGAAAATAAGAATAGGTGGATATGGTAATAAACGATCAAAAGAAAATGGCAATGGCAATGGCAACGTCGAAAATTTTTCATTTGATATTGGAGAGAAGAGAATGGTACACCAAACTGAGATTGTCGATGTCCGTACGTTTATTCATAGTGGAAGGATTAAGGAAAATGTGGCACATTTCAAGGAAGGTTCTCTTGAAATGGTTGCTTTCTGTGCAGAGAATTTTGACATGTTCGTTATAAACAATTCAGCTCTGTGCCAGTGCGTTTTAGTCTACATTTGACTGTTGTAAGTTAGTTTTTTACGTGTAATGTTGACGGGTTTTTTAGTAAGCTTGGTAGTAGTTTTTTATTCTGTCGTTCATTTGTAAATCAAACTTTTCCGCTTTGAAAAACACGAATGCTACTACACAGAAACTTTCAAGCTACAATTTTACTAACAATTTTTAATGTTTTGACCACAGTTACCAAAGGGAATGGTGTGTTTGTTTAACACCTTTTATTCTTCACTCTACATTCGTAAGTTAATTTTCCATGTTTTTGTATAATATTACCTACCATCATTGTAATATTTTTTAGATTTGAACTGATGAAGCTTATAAACACCACAAGCGAAACGTCTTTGAATATAAGAATGGAACTGTGATTTCCTTGTATTATTTCTCCTTTGACCGATATCCTCGTTGATCAAAAGAATTTTTCTTTTGAAACTTACTGCATTATATATATATATATATATATATATATATATATATATATATATATATATATATATATCCTTGAATATTGTTTTGGAAATGCCGTAAGTTGCAGCAGTACGTTTTATCGTTGATTGAATATCCGAATATTTGAATATTAAATCAACGGTTTTATTGATTAACCTCCGTTTAAATGGCGCTTAATTGTGTTAAAGATCCTATCGGGAATTATGTCTGTTGTATTTGATTTCTTACCATTTTTGTGGCAGGTGCAGCAATTAAGAAAAAGAAAAGAAATTTCAAAAATCTGTAGTTGGGTACAGTGGACACTAATGACATTTTATTTATAAGCAGTCTCCACTGTACCTTATTCATAACCTTTAAAAAAGACCGATGCCCAACTAGATAGTTAAGTTAAATAAGAAACTGATTAACTGTAAATTTACCTTAAAAGTACCTTCAAACGATAAAATATCACAAAATTTATAAATATGGATTTATAAGCAAACATTTATTACACTTTCTTTCCACGTGATAAAATTTAACGGCCACCTCATAAATCACTTTTAATGAACTGAATTTTACCGAAAACTGCATTATCATCATAAATATAAAATGTATATACTTCTGGAAAGAGAAACAGATGCAAAGTTCTATAACTAGATCGCAGCATGCACCGAGATTATATTATTTAAAAATTGAAACTGACCACTGTAGCACAATGTCCACTATATCCCATCCTCCCATCGAGTTAGAATCTATGAAAAGGGGATCACGTGACTAACAAGGACTTCACTTCGGCCATATTGTTATGATCGTTTTGACATATTGTGTATACTTGTTTCCGCTTGTTATTTTTCGAATATTCTTAGTTTTATAATACTTTTATAAAAACTGTAATATTATATTGTGATAGTGTATAATAATGGTTTCTTGTTCTCAATGAAATTGCAGTAGCAGAAGCAATGTTAATAAAAAATCTTCAGGAATAACGTTCCACAGGTTAGTACCTATACAAATATGTAAACAAAGGAATGGCCCGTACTTCAGAAAATAAATTAATAGTATTCATAAAAAATCTTATATAGATCATGCTATTCTTGAGAATACTTAAATATCTTCATCTTGAATATCTTAAAATTTCTTATTAACTACTGTAACATAATTATTTTTATTTCAACACAGCACACAACTATTTTAATTGAACTAAATTTTTAAGTGTCAGTTAATTTGTAGTTATCAAATAAAAGTTATAAAACTAAGATATTTTTTTTATTTCATACCGTATATTTATTTTACCCTGTAAAATATTATTTATATTATTATCTCTTTCAGATACAACTTGTTATTTGACTGTATTTATTTGTCTTTAGGTATACGTCGTGTTTTTATTGTTTAATGCGAGATAAATAAATCATCGTTTACTAAAAATGTATTGCACTTTTTTAGATTATGATCAAATCTTCTGAATAACTAGTCATTATAATATATATATATATATATATATATATATATATATATATATATAGAAGCAGGCTTCTTGCAACAAGATATTCCTCCGTATATTCTACGAAGACAAAAGGCCTTGATAACGGAGTATTCGAAAGTAAATAGCAACTTCCAACTACCAATCCATGAAGACATCCCGAGTTTAGCAGCAAACCGGCTCCCATCCAGACAACCACCCATAAGAACAGCCCGGCAGCTAACAGCAGATGATTTCAATGTTACCTCCAGATGGCGCACGCTGTGGACTGAGGAAGCCCACCTGAAGTATCCAACCTTATTGACCCAGTCCAAAAGCATGGTGGCTTTGACCAGCCACGAAACATATGGAATAGCATAAACCAAATTAGAACAGGACATGCAGTATGCGCACTCAACCTACATAAATGGGGAAAACAGCCTACCTCCAGCTGCGACTGTGGAGCTCCAGATCAAACCATCCAACATATAGTGGAGATATGTGAATTGAAGGTATATCGAGGGGACCCAAAAGACTTTTTCAAAACTACACCTGCAAGCCTTGAATGGCTAGCTCAACTTGATTTAACAAGATATAACCTTATCTGTTTGTATTATCTTATATTTTATCTGTATTTTGTCTATATTTGTTTTTATAATCTTATGTTTGTATAATCTTATGTTTGTAATTTTGAATTATGTAAGTACGTTTTTTGCAATTATTACTGTATTTACTCCATGTATTGCGCCATCCGCTAAATAAATAAATGCAATTTAGTCTAAAATTAACATTAGTTAAAGTGTACTTTAGGTTGTCTTTATGAAATCAGGCGTTAATGTCACACCAAAATATTGATATGATATGCAATTATTAATGTATGTTGTATTTTACAGTGGATATGATTTCATTTGGAATCCTACACCTTCTCACCTTCTCTGCAGTGCTCATTTTATTGGAGATAAAAAGGATGAAAGTAAGCTAAGCCCTAATTATATACCAACAATATATTTTCAACAAAATTGGAGAACAAATTAAATCAAAATGCATTTCTAAATAGACATAAGCGTGTCAAAATGCGTTGTCTACAAAAAATATCACCATTAATTGTAGATAATAAGCCCATCAGTTCTGTGAATGAACTGTATTTGAAGTCAGATATAGCAGGCAATTTAATGAGTGAAAATGTGTGTAATACGATACAAGATGAGTCAGTAGCTGATACGAGTGGTAGTAAAAGTGACCAAGCTTCTCAAGTTGACATTTTTGTTCGTTGTAATAGTGTTAAAAAAATTTTGTGTTGTAATAGATTTATTTTTGGACATAATTCTACTGAAGCAGAAACTCAAACTGAAATTAATGTATCACAAAGTGAATTTAAAATAAATACCAAACAAAAAATTCATAAAAAATGTGGTACACCACCAAACGTTCTTGTTGATACAGCAGTTGGATCTGATTTTCCATATAATGGATTTCATGGTGATGAAATCCGTTTCGAAGGAACTGTTACAAGTGATGAACAATTAACAGATCTTGTTGGAATATCTTTTGATACTTTTAAAGATTTATTAAATAAAATAAGTATTAAAAAAATGTTCAGATATCCAAAAAAATGAGGCTATTTATTTTTCTTTCAAAATTTAAAACTGCCTTAACATTTGCAGTAATACGTTCAATGTTTTTCAGCAATATTCATCGAACAACAGTATCCATGATATTTCATTTAACTTTAGATAATCTAGCTGAAGTAACTGCAACATTAGTGTTTTGGCCAGATAAATCAAGTGTCTAAGTAACAATGCCAGATTGCTTTAAACCCAAATATAGCAATACTCGTGTCATTATTGATTGTACTGAATTTAAAATGGATGTGTCTTCTACAGTAGATGATCGTGTATGATATTCTCATTATAAAAAAGGGTTTACTTTCAAAGTATTAATTGGTGTTACTTCATCACAACAACTTCATCTATTTTAAGTAACCAGCAGCAGGTGGTAGAAAAAGTTATTCTCAAATAACAATTGAATCAGGTTTAATTGATTTACTAGAAGAAGAGGAAGTAGTATTGGCAGATAAAGGATTCTCAGATATCCAAACTATGATTGGCAGTATATATACACACCGGTATTTTAAGCGGCAAGCCCTTCCGGTAGGGATCTATGGAGGAGTATCACCGAGACACAAGCCTTTATCTCTTGCCGTACTGTTCCACCATAGGTCGATCAGACACTAGCATATTCTAGTCTAAGCCGCAGATTCATATAGAATTTTAAACTGCTACGTTAGCCTTTTTGTTTTCTGTACACCGAGCTGGTGATCGAGCCCATATTCACTGAAACAATCGCAGTGAAACGAATGAGAACCGGCCGCCCAGCCCGCTTGGCTATCTGACCAACTAGTTGACAGTCAAGTCAAAAAAAAATCTTGTTATTCCACGTTTTTTAAAGAGGAAAAAAGAATTTTCTCTCAAGAAGAAACTGAGCAAACTTATCATATAACTAGAGTCAGGATAAATGTTCAAAGAATAATGCAACGTCTGAGGACTTATAATATTTTAAATAAAATACCTGAATATTTATTTGACAAAGTTGATGACATAATACATATATGCTGTGTATTAGTAAATTTAGTCTCCAATATTTGCTGACAGAAGTGAAAACAATGATAGATAATCAGTAGAAATTATTGTTTTTATGGAATTTTCATAATTATATTATATATATTTAATACATATGATTTAATAATAAGTAATATTTTGTAGTATAAATAAACAATGTTTTTCTAAAATTATGATTCATTTAAACTTATCTCCAATATATTTATTGTTTGTAATAGACAACAAAATGATCCAAAACTATCAAACCAGCGATGTCAAAAAAATAACATTTGGTCATGTAAATAAAACTAGCGCAACGTTCACTATTCGACACAAGTGCCCTTAAATTATATTAGTTTTCCCCATTCGACGCTCGGAACCACCAGTCGATTTGGATAGCCCATACAAATGAAAAATTGAAACTCAAATGCTAGTTTTTCTCCCAATTTCCCATTTAAAAAATAAAAAAATCCGTAATGCGAAATAATCTGACAATAAAGTTTGCTGTACGGCGTGAAACCAATTTCCAATCACTGCATTTTAGGGATGATTTAATCTTTTTGCATTTCACCGACGCCAGATTATAACTTCAATTATTGTGGAATAAAATCTGGAGCCTGACCTAGTTGTGGCACTGTTCTACGTGGAGAAATATCTCGGAATACAATTTAGAAATACTGGTGCCAATTTTCTTTAAAGGAAATAAAAAGTCGAGTTGGATGTCTGATCGATACCGGATGGTATAATTTCGACAATGCAAACATCTTCTAACCAGAAATAGTATTTACGGATTGTTTCGCATATAAATATTTTTTATGAATCTGTTTTAATTTTATACAAGCTCTGTAATACATAATTCATAAAATATTCATGATAAGATTATTCTACATGTCGACTACTCTGTTTGAAGATTCGAATTTAGTGATAAACTTAATAATTTATGATAGGTAATGGACAATTACAACAACGTATATTTAAAAGGAATAAAGTTTTATTCTTCTTCTTACGGTGCCTTATCCTTAAGGACGTTGGCCATTACATTTGTCCATTTAATCTTATTTGTAACAGCCCTGAATAGTTCTATGGTCATGTTCGTCCATTGCCGTAGGTTTTTAAGCCAAGAGTTGCGTCTTCTTCCTGGTTCTCTTTTGCTATTGACTTTGCCTTCGATTATAAGTTGGAGCAGTTCATACTTTTGATTTCTTATGATGTGACCAAAATATTGTATTTTCCGTTCTTTTATTATAAGCAAAGTTTTAGTAGCTGATATAAATTCTCTAGTATAAGAAATCGACGTGTGTAAATTCTGCTCCATAATAATTTCAATTTTTGGTTATAGTGAGTCGATAGTTTTGTTGATTTTGCGTGCAATGTAAATAGAATAGTAAAAGTGTTAGTGGTAATTATAGAAAAGACATTGGAAGAGAGGTAAGTGCATAACCTTTATAAATTTAGCAGGGCGAAGTAAATTTTATTTAATTTCTACACAAAAAAACTAAAAACTGCTAATATATTAGTTTTAAAAGCTAGAGGAGGGCTTTGAGCTACATCAGACCGTTCCAAAGTAACTGACAATTATTTTAATTGAAAATTAATTTATCCAGGAAGAAAACCTGAAAATAAATTACTACAAGCTACTCGTCGGCCTAATTGTAAAATCACCTAACTCCAAAAAATTCGAAATTAGTTTTTTTTCCATTTTATGAGGCCAGCTGTTTTGTACAACCTCTTAAAAACACATAACTCTAAAAAAATGATTTTGAGAGATACATGGGATTTTACAAATCACCTATATTTTCGGAGCGATTTTTATGTTTGCAAACCTGCTATCTCCAGCCATTTGCATTGCATGGCAACATGGTTAAACACTGTGATGTTTCGCTATGAATAACTGTAGTTCTTTATATACGTGTTACTTGATTAATGGATTCTACTTTTGAAGTAAGTAATACAGTTTATTTTTAGTAAAGTTTAACGTAAGTCGCATTAACGAAGGCAATAAAAAATATTAAATTAACAATTACTGGAGTTACGAGTATTGTTATCATATTACAGTTGAGGTTAGTTAGGCCCGAAATGGGAGTTAAGTGTTTTGAAAATAGATAGCTATAAACTGACTAATAGTTACATTATTATAGTAAATTTTTAAGTTGTTTAATGCTCTTAGTTTTTTTTGTATGTTTGTACCGTCTCCACCAAGTATTAAATAATAGATTTTTCTCAATAAAATAATTAATATGGGAGTTATTGGTTTTTGTATTTATAAGAGTATGCAGTAAGGTGATTTGTTACTAGGAGGTAGGTGGTTTGCTTTCTAGTTTTGTACAAGTCACCAATTCATTTCGGAGTTAGTTGTTCAGTGTATTTATCATTTTACTTCTAATATGCTAAAAGTTAATTAAACAAAACTATTAATTCCAGGATGCGACGGAGAGCAGACCTGATTTTTGAGAAGCTTCGACTAGCAACGAACAGTCAAAAAAAACTGCTACAGTAGCAGTAACTGCTTGTACCATCTTCCTTCTGGAGATACAAAGGAATTGAATGATACAAAAGACGCCTTGAAAGGCTGGATAAAATAAAAAAAGAAAATAATGTGATAATAATAGGGAATGGCAATAGAAACTGGAGATAGAAGAACACTAAAAGAAGTAATAGGAAATTTTATGACAAAAGAGCTAAATATTACCATAAATATAGAAAAAAAATTGAAACTCGGAGATAAAACATGTTTAGTCAGACTGCCGAACAAAGAAGAAAAAACAAAAATTATGGAAAACAAAAGTAAACTTAAAGAAGTGAAAAACAGAAAAAATATATATAAGCAATGATCTAACGACAGAGGAATTACAAATACAGAAGGAACTACGAAGAATAGCAAAAGATGAAATAAAGAAAGGTAAGCGTGTCCAAATTAAAACCAACAAACTGATAATAGATGGTCTAGAAAGGAGATGGAATAGAAACACCAACCAGCTAAAAGAATCATCCTGGAGGAGGTTCAAAAACTAGCAAGGGATACGAGAATAGATTATCCGGTGATGGACGAGGCAAAGAAGCAGGAAATGCCTTCAGATAAACTCAGGTATAACAAAAGTGAAATAAAGAAAGATAGACAAGAAAACAAAAATAAAAGACGAAGACAGGACAAAAAAAAACAAAGAGTTGAAAATAAGCACATGCAACATTAGAACTATGCTAGCTTTAGGAAAAATGCTAAAAATAGGAGAAGAACTCAAAAAGTATAAAATAGATATTGCAGCACTACAAGAACTACGCTGGGAGGGACAAGGACAGATTGATCAACAAGACTTTACACTGTTATATTCAGGAGGAAAGGAGCAAGGCAAA